CCATGCCTCCGGACCCTGCGCCGCCGGAGCCCGGGAGGGGAAGTGCCAGGCCGGTGGCTGGGGTCCGGAGGCAAGGGGGCTGCCTGAAGCCCATAGCGCTTGGGCAGCTCGGCTCTTAAACAGAGCCGAAGAGTCAGGGGAGGAGCAGAGCCGCCATTTTCCCGGACACGTTCGGCTTTTTGGCAATTCCCCCGGACGGGGGTTTGAGTGCCGAAAAGCCGGACATGTCCAGGGAAAAAGAGGACGTATGGTAACCCTACTACAAGGCAGCAGGCATGGAGGGAGGGGAGAAAGCATAGCAGACAGAGACAGAGACACACACCTGTGTCTGAGAGCGAGAGATGCACATTTCCCCTTTAAGTAGCTGACCCCAGTCTTAAGTACACTGCCTTGTTAATTAGATCAGCTTGCTGAGACTGCAGCTGCTGCCTGGAAGCTCCCTCCACCCTGTCATGTACCCCCTGCTCTATGGAAATGGGGTAAGTGGAGTGCAGGGGGAGGGGGACACCCTGACATTAGCCCCCCACTTCCCCCCTACCGCAAGCAGGAGTCTCTGGGAGCAGCTCCAAGGCAGAGGGCAGGAGCAGCACATGGCAGTGAGGGAGGGACAGCTCAGTGCCGGCAATTGCTAGCCTGCTGGGCAGCTGCAGCACAGGGAACTTAGGGGAGCTGATTGGGGGCTGCCAGTCCACCCTGATTACAAGCCCCCACCAGCTAGCTCCAACAGGCTGCTTTTCCTGCAAGCAGTGGACAAAGCAGGCAGGATACATTTTAAAATAGCATTTTTTCTTGTTTATAGCTATTATTTCTGTTAAATAAGTTGAAAATAGTATTCTAAGGCAAGAGCTGTGACTTGAGAGGAAAGTGTGAAATGCCATACACAACTACTACAGAGTAGCACTTTCAACCCAGTTCTCTATATTACCAGGAGTAAATATGACTGTAGCAGCCTTAGCATCATTGGCAGTTTGCTGTGTATATTGTATATTTTCTTTCCTGGGGAACGAGGATGCTGTCTGATCACTGAGAGTCTCCATTTCTTTCCTCATTTCTGCAATAGCAGCCCGCAGGCTGGTGTTCTGTTCCTTTAATCTTTGGATCTCTGTGGCAGGAAAATCTTTTCCAAGAACTCCTTTATCACCACCTAGAAACATCTGAAAAATAAATCAGTGACATCATGTTATTATCAGTGATAGAGACAAACTAGAGTTTTGTGTCTTCCAAACACAGCAAATAATAATCCGCTCAAGGTTAAAAAGTATTAAGATCATATGGGAAGAGAACAGCTGAAAGAGGAAAATAATCAGGTAATTCTGGGAGTTACCTGAGAAAAAAGTACAACAGTTAGAACTGTGGTCAGATTTATCAAAATGACAAAGAAAAAGTAGATCAGTTTAACTGACAGAAATACACTCTTCCCCTCTCTATTCAATGGAGTTTTTATTTAAATAGGAAGAACAGGAGTACTTGTGGCACCTTAGAGGCTAACAAATTTATTAGAGCATAAGCTTTCGTGGACTACAGCCCACTTCTTCGGATGCATGTGCACACGCCCTCGTGCGCCTGTGGTTGTAGTCGTGCACGCGGGAGAGGGGGGCAGCCCCAGAGGTGCTCACACCCATGTGCATTTACACACTGGCCCATGCCCCAGTCACGCACAAGCACATGGGCACACAGTGCTGCATGCGCCTGTTCCCCCGCATTGGTCACACATACACAGGGGGGCTCACACGGGAGAGAAAAATGCCCACACCTGTGTGCCCATGCGTGCTTCTGCACCGGTGGCCTGACACGCTCCCCTCTATTAAATTAGGCAAACAACTAACAAGGGCACCCCCCCAAAGCACCAACAATGCAGTTACCCTGCAGCCAGGAGACCCGCCGAGGCTGCAGGCCTGGCCTGACCCTGATCACTGATGCCCTGAGCGCCTGTCTTGCCAGCCCCAGGCCAGGGTGGGCTGGGCACAGGGGCACGTTTTGTTTATTTAAATAGGGTCCTTCATTTTTTTATTTAAATAGGGTCCTTCATCAAAAGCAGAGACAAGAGAGAACATTTTGCACAGATGGGTATAGTGTCTCAGAGGCAGAAAAGGAAAAATTATAAATGTAAACAGAAATGTAACACTGAAAATATCTCAGTAATAATTATTGGCACCAACTTACAGTGAGGGAAGAATAAAAGCAGCCAGTATGAATGGAGAGTCAGGTGAGTTTCAGATATATATGGCGATGCAGTCTGCACTTTCTTATAAAGTTGCTGAAGTGACTCTATAAGAAAGGTTACACAATAACCAGCTTTCCATCGTCAGCCCAGTTTTGTCCCCTCACCTTACTACTTCCTCAAAACAAATTCTTTCCACCTGAAATTTCTTGTGTAGAGAAATTTCTGCCAGAGGAGAATTTTTGAGAAAGCATAAGATTAATAAATGTAACAAAATGCTTGGTTTAGTTATGCTACTATATGATATTTATATGAAATGTTATGAGAATGTAAAACTTAAGTATTGAAGTTGAGGAGTGCTTGCATTTCGGTTTGTGGCTCATATGTGACGAATGGGAGATGGTTTGCAGCAGAGGGTTTGTGATCCATATTAGAAATGTTATGACACTGTGGTATGGCATTTTGGTAGTTGGGTGTAAACAAGCAGTTGTTGGACAGGCAAAGATGAGTATTGATGTGGGGCCAGAGTTAAGGTTGTTTGTGTAACCTAAAGGAATAGATTCTCAGCAGCTGAAAACTGCCATAGATCTATTGACTTCAATGGAACTATGACAATTTACACCAGCTGAGGATCTGCCCCTAGAACTTTATTCTTAATTTAGATTTCCAGGCTTTCAAATATGTGCTTGTTGTTGTTTTAAAATAGTAGAAATACTGTAACAATTGTTTTTCTTAATTGATATGTATTTGCAACCTTAACTATTTTCATGTACGTTGTGCCTGGGAATATATAAAAACTGTATTGTAGTATTTTCTTTGAGCTAAAAATTCTGTATCCTAGCTCCTGAAAATAGTAGACCTGGTTAATACTGCTTTTTAATACATACACAGTTCTTCATGTTCTATTCAGGGAGGACCCCATTTTCCTGGTTAACAAGTAGTGATTGGGCACTAGGGTGTACCACAATACGTTCTTCACTTTCATCCTTCAGAAAGGCCTGTTATGAATACAGTTCTGCCAAAATCTCAATGGGGTGAAGCAACAGATATTAGCAAAATCAGAAATCTCCTGTCCAGCCCCAGGAAAGTTTTCACATTTCTCAATGATTTGCAAGTTGATTAGAAGGATTTAAACCTAAAGCAGGGATCAGTAATACAGATGGCAGAGGTGTTGAAAGTTACACATATAGCCAGAAAGTAGTGTTTAGGGATTCAACTATGCTTGGGATACATTTTCCTGTTCTACTGCACTGCAGTCCTTAACACAATATAAAATATGAAAGTAGAAAACAAATGAAAGTCCAAAATTAATGCACAAACTGAATGTATCTTGGAAATATGTATTATTAGGCTGATTCGTATTAGATGTTCAGCTACATTATGAAAAAATATGCTAGGGATATGGTTCTCCATTTTTCTTCAATATTCTAACAGACAAGTCTCTTTCCAACTTTCTAAATCCTACCTGCAGATTTCTTCACCACATGATGGTTTTTTCATGTCCGATTTATTCCATTTTAATATTTACAGCATAATTTTAAGCATTGCTGAAAAACTCTTTATTGCCTGCTTCCCCATTTAGAGTACAGCAACCTCAAAAATGTTTTCCTCTGGAATATTTTCAGATTTTCAAATTTTCCTTCTGCTCTCTCAGTCTGGGATTCTCGACAGTCTCCCAAATTTTTATTCAGTCAGAGGTGGCATAATTATGTAAATACACATGACAAGCCTGTCCCTTAACTGTTACTTGCTGCAGTGGGATGATATTTCTGTCTACCTCATCACAATGAAACTTATAAAACAGTAATTTTTTAATATTTCCAACAGAATTTAATTTCTTTCAGATCTTTAGCACATGCCATTCAAAGGCAAAAATTATTCCCTGAACATTATAGTTCCTTCCACTGTAATATTCAAACAAGAAGCCAAGTTTCTGTCTACACACAATTTATGTGCCTGCTTTCTATTTCTGGTCATATACGAACTGGTCCAGAGCCAAGTATCTGTGGACTACAATCTTCAAGGACAGAAGGCAGCAAGAATGATTTTGCAGTACTAAAAGGCCACTTTACTTCAACAAGGATGGGAAATATACAGTCCTTCAAGGACAGCCACAATGACATATTAATATAAGATTAGAAGTACAGGATATGAGATGGGGCTGGGGAGGAGCCAACCATTTCATCTTTGTCCACAACAAATTTAAAACCATATTACCACCTAATGAAAACACAAACTAACTTTCACTTATAATCCATTTTTCTAGCTAACTGCAGAAATAAATTGAGAAAAATAGTACATTCTTCCTAAGATCCTCAAAAGGAATAATTCCTTATAAAATTTTTGGTGGGACTCAGAGGTCGGGGTACAAGCTGTAGAGCCCTCTAAATTGCAGTCTGGGGGCAAAACCCCCCAGTAGGAGAAAATACCTGCCATACCTCCATCATACCTGGTGCATGGGGTCGCAGTGCCACTCAAGGATAGACAGTACACTTATAAAGTTTGCAGATGATACCAAGGTGGGAGGGGTTGCAAGTGCTTTGGAGGATAAGATTAAAATTCAAAATAATCTGGACAAATTGGACAATGATCTGATATAAATAGGATGAAATTCAATAAGGACAAACGCAAAGTACTCCACTTAGGAAGGAACAATCAGTTGCACACATACAAAATGGGAAATGACTGCCTAGGAAGAAGTATTGCGGAAAGGGATCTGGGAGTGATAGTGGAGCACAAGCTAAATATGAGTCAACAGTGTAACACTGTTGCCAAAAAAGCAAACATCGTTCTGCAGGAATGTTGGAAGCAAGACACAAGAAGTAATTCTTCCATTCTACTCCATGCTGATTAGGCCTCAACTGGAGTATTGTGTCCAATTCTGAGCGCCACCTATCAGGAAAGGTCTGGACAAATTGGAGAAAGTCCAGAGGAGAGCAACAAAACTGTCTAGAAAAAAGGACCTATGAGGAAATATTGAAAAAAAATTGGTTTGTTTAGTCTGGAGAAGAGAAGACTGAGGGGAGACACGAAGTACAGAAAGAAGAGGGTGAAAAATTGTTCTCCTTAGCCTCTGAGGATAGGACTAGAAGCAATGGGCTTAAATTGTAGCAGGGGAGGTTTAGGTTGGACATTAGGAAAGACTTCCTGTAAGGGTAGTTAAGTACAGGAACAAATTGCCTAGAGAGGTTGTGGAATCTCCATCATTGGAGGTTTTTAAGAACAGGTTAGACAAACATCTGTCAGGAATGATCTAATTATTACCTAATCCTGCCTTGAGTGCATGGGACTGGACTATGACCTCTTGAGGTCCCTTCCAGTCCTATACTTTTATGATTCTATGATTCAGGGAAAACTCAGCAGAGAATCATTCTTCCATGCATAGACGCTGGGCTATATGGGCTCATGGGGGACCAGGCCCCACCAATATTCTGGAAAGAAGGCCCAGCCCTACCAATGTTTAAGCCAAGAGTGCAACCAGAAGAGGGGATCCAGGTTACTTACTGGGACACCCCAAATTTGAGTGGCATTGGGGGTATCTGGGCCAAATTTGAGTGGCACTGTGACCCTATGCACCAAGTATGCTGGAGGTATGGCAGGTATTTTTCTCCTAATTGGGAGGGTTTCACCCCCCCAGACTCCAATTATAGGAGGCGCTGTCCCTTGCATCCCTGACCTCTGGGCCCCACTAAAAATTTTACAAATGCAGCACCTATGGTTCCATGTGATGGGATGATGACTATTGCCCTACGTCCCACTGTGCTTAAGTACATTTGCAACTGAAGCCTATGTTTGCAAATTGGACTTCCTGCTGAGATGAATTAGTAAAATGGCAGCTCTTAATGGGAGACAGTAATTGAGATATTAAAACAGCAGCAGGCATTCTAAACAGATTTTGCAATTTCATATATTTTTAAAATATTCATTTAAGACTAACATAACCTTAAAATCTGCACTGTGCCAACCCTGGAGCAGAACAGAGAATCACAATTCTTTCTCTGCTCCTCCTTTTCTTGGAGCAGTTTACCTCCTCTGTACACCTGGCATAACACTTTGGCCAGTGAGTGACTGGGGCAGTCAGGGCTCCTCCCCATCCCTGTCCACTCATTCAAAGTAGTGGACGAGTAGCCTCTTCTGTCCTTCCTATGGCCAGAATCTAAATCTGAGCAGGACCAAACAGGGGAGTAAGAGAGGGCCCATTGCATGACTGAATAAGGCCAATGATAATCTAGCCCAGGGGTCCCCAACGCGGTGCCCGCGGGCGCCATTGTGCCCACGTACTGGCCGGCAGATGAGCATCCGCCGAAATGCCGCCGACAAGCGGCAATGTCAATAGGTGTCGCTGCCGAAATGCCGCCAATTTTCGGCGGCATTTCGGCGGCGGCGACGCCTCTGGATGACACTGCTTGTCGGCAGCATGGCGGATGCTCGTCCACCACCACGGTCCTCCGTGAGTCGTCGTCTGGTGCCTGCCAGACGAAAAAAGTTGGGAACCACTGATCTAGCCCTTAAGTTACCTAAGGTGTTCGCATTAATCACTGAATTTTCCTTTAAAGGATAATATCCCAAAATGAATTGTTGGGGTCTCTGACCGTCCTTTCCAGTGCACACGTTACATCTGTTAAATGGAATATCTTCTATGGTATACATTGACCAGAGGTACAGATACTTAACACATTTGTAAAGGCTAGTGTAGACACCCCTATACATTTGTTCCAGGCTGGAAATGTTTGTACCTCAAATTAACAAGCAATCAATTAACTTGAGGTATACAGATTTAGTGAAGACAAGCCCCACATAGCTAGCTGTATCGGAATTAATTCAACCAAAGACAAGGCAATAAGTGTTGTCTAACCTGTTTCTCTCCTTCAGGCAATATACCATGTTTCTGAAGAGCCTGCACTGCTTGGTCTCTTTCAAAGGTCAAAGCAGACAGGACTGTTTCCATTTCACACAGCTTCTTTTCCTTCTCTTGTAGCTGAGCTGTAACCTACAAAACACAAATTACTGTGTCTTAAGTACAGACAGTACAGAGCTATAAGAAGGGAGGAACAATGGTCTTCTGGTTCAATCACATGACAGGAAATCAAGAAACATGTGTTCTATTTCTGGCTCTGCCACAGACCTCCTATGTGACCCTGAAAAAGTCACTTAACTTCCCTGTGCCTCAACTTCCTAACCTGTAAAAGTGACAATAATAATAATTTGCCTCCCAGATATTCATTAATGTCTATAAAGCACTTGGGATACAGAATGGTGTTATAAAACACCAGGATTAAAGTTTACTTTTTAAAATAGTAAACAGGTCATTTCATTATACCCATGTGGTTACTTAGCAACTGGCCATTGACAACCATCAACCAGTACATTCTGTAAAATCTCTGAACAAGAAGGTGTGTCTGCAATGTAGTCCATTCTACATGGGACTATACTTTAAAACCATTCAGAGATTGAAGCTGGTGCAAAATCCAATGGCTTGCTTCATGAGCAGGGCATATTGCTGGAAGAATATGACACCAGTGCTCTGGGATCTACACTGGCTCCCCATTGGTTTCCAGGTGGAGTTTATGTACCTGAGGAATCACTTCTCTTTCTATGCCATACTGACACAGCTGGGGTGTTCAACCTGAACTCCTTTCATGAGAAAAGAGAAAAGGGTGGCTGGCAGAGTGTTCTCCATGAGGGCTCCGAGACCTAGGACTTGCTCCCCTCACTTGATCCAAAATATCCCGAATTTGGGTGACTTCCTGAAAACATTGCAAAAAATATCTGTTTGATAGGCTCTGGGGAGAGTTCTGAGGGTAAGCTTCCCATAATGATGAAGGAGTAGAAAAGAGAATTTGTAGGTGTCCGGCTGTCTGAATTCCTGTTGAAATGATTACTTTAATGTGGCTGGGATTTTATTGTTTTATTAATGATGTTAAGGTGCCTACAGCCTTGGACAGGGTATCTTTTTTTTATTATTCTAAATCCAAGTAAATAGTCTGTAGAATCACAGAAATGTAAGGCTGGAAGAGACCTCGAGAGTGATGAAACCATTCAGTACAGACCAAAGTCAATTTGATCTAATAATGACCTGGTCCCTTGCTGTTGACAGGCTCTGTATTAGATCCTCTGATTTCTGATATTGATTTCTTTCAGCATTTTCACAGCGCCGCTGCCAGTCCAGTTCTGCTTGCACTTTAGCCCGTTCCAGAATCTGCTCTCGTTCTGCTGCCAGAGACAGTTGCTGCTTATACCTATGACACAGAGGACCAGCGTGAATGTTTTTTTCCATTCCCTGAATTTCTAGTTCAGTTACTAAGAGACCATCGAACTGGGGAAACAACATAGTATGTCCAATATCTGAAGCTCTGGTGCTGAAGGGAGATTTTAATTACTGAAACATACAATGGGTAATTAACTGACATTTTGAACTCTGTAGAGGGCAACTTCTTGTTTCAAAGAATGTGGAAGACAATCTGAGGAGAGGCAATTTTGGATTTTATATGTACTTGGAAGGGAGCTAATTAGGGTATTGATAGTAAAGGAGAATTCTTGGAGTACATGCCAATCAATTTGGTGAAAACTGAGAAAGAAAATTATAAAGTAGTAGTTAGACAAAGTTACACCAATTCTATAAAGAACAACTAGAGAAATGAAGGGAACTATTGGACAAGGTCCCATGAACAGAAGTATTAATGGGGAAAGAAGTAAGTGAAGGATGGAAGATCCTACAGGATATTGTACCACAAAGGAGGCACAGAGGGAAGGCTAATGTGTCATGAATGAAGATAGTTATGTATACAGCTGAAATGAATACTGGGATTATACAAGAAATGGAAAAAGGGAGTGTAGAGATAAGGTAGGAATATAGTATTCATGGATAGTAAATCAACTTGTAGAAATGAATTCAAAATGGCAAAAAAAAAATTGTTAGCTGAATGGGTAAATGAAATGAGAAGAAATTACAACCATGGAAAAAAAACTAGGTTGTGTGAAATAGAATATGACTCTGGTTAAACAAAGATGGAGATAACAACATAGAGAAACTCCAGGATGATTGAACTGTGATTTTTCTTCCATTTGTAATATAACAGAAAAGTAGAATGAGACACCTTGAGAATGGAATATAATTGATGCTCGGGTGAACCAGGACACATGGTTGATAGGGGAAAGTAAAAGAATCAGACTTAAGGGTGGGATTTTCCAGAGCACTCAGTATTGACTAAATGCTGCTCCCACTGAAATCAACGCCAAAATTCCTATTGATTTAAATGGCACCAAGGGTAGGTCCAATCACTTGGAGTATGTCTACACTGCAAGTGGGAGCAAGCCTTTCAGTTCAGATAGACAGACTTACACTAGTGGGGGCTTGAGCTAATGTGCTAAAAATAGCAGTGTGGATGTTGTGGCTTGGGCTGCAGTTCGGGGTCTCAAGCCCATCTGACCCCCTGGGTCTGAGCTAGGGTGGCCAGCTCATGTCTTCGCTGAAGCTGCAACCTCCACAGTGCTATTTTTAGGGTGCTAGCTTGAGCCCCCAGTGCAAGTCTGTCCATCTGGGCTAGAAGGCTCGCTCCCAGCTACAGTGCAGACATATCATGAGAGCTTTTAAAATACCCACTCTAAATATTTATCCCTAAACAAAACCATTAAGGGGTCAAAGGTTTAGCAATCTCTTAGAATCCCTTACCTTTCTATATCCTGCTGGAATCTGGCCAATTCTGCCCTCAGCTTCACCTCCTCCTCATGCAATGACTGAATTTGAAGGTCTTTAGAAACAGTCTCTTTGGAGATTTGAGCTAGATGAGAATCCCAGCTTGTTTTCAGTGTTGTTAGCTCTCTTTGAAGCCTATACAAAGTATATAAAAACATATACTCCTACAAACAAAATATCTTTTTTCTTTTTAAGACAGCAAGCAAGTCTTATTCAAAGCAACTGATTCTATTAAATACATGTCTATTACACCTCTACCTTGATATAACGCTGTCCTCGGGAGCCAAAAAATCTTACCGTGTTATAGGTGAAACCGCGTTCTATCGAACTTGCTTTGATCCACTGGAGTGCGCAGCCCCGCCCCCCCGGATCACTGCTTTACCACGTTATATCCAAATTCATGTTATATCGGGTCGTGTTATATTGGGGTAGAGGTGTATTATCCTCCTAAAAGTTACATTTTGCAAATATACCAAAGCAATATTAATATTAATGATGATTTCTCTAAAAACCACAGAAATTAATAGACTTTCAGTGAAGAGGACTGAGGACTGTTTTATGACAAATCTTTTTAAATATCACAGAAGCGCCCACTTTTTTGAGTCAGAAATGTGTGCTTGCAAATTGTGTACTATCAAATGTGTAAAAAAAATGGAGGCACCCTAGAAAAAAAGGCCCATGTTGTTCCAGCTGCAGTCTTCCAGGCCAAGGGAAGCCTTAAAACAGGCTCCTTAGCCAAAGAGGCTCATTTCTACCAGTCAGTTATTGTGTCCCTGAATTATGTCAGGTGTTATTTTCTCAATATCAGTCCACATTTCCAATATACACACAGCTCAGAGTCCGTATGAGGAGGTTGACTAGAAGTTCAAAAAGAGGAAAGGACGGTAAATCCTAGGCCAGCAGAAAAGCCTCTGGTATTTACTTATCTTACCCTTTAAAGCGTTATTGTGGAGACCAAACCCACTTTCTTCCCTCCTACCTTTCTTCTATCCTATCTCCACAACCAATATTAAATTTATCCCCAACATTCACCAGGGGATATGCTACTTTTCAAGAAACAACATGACAGTACAGCAGTTGAAGGGGATAAAAATATCCTAGTATGTCTTAGGATTGGGCACACAAGGGGGATGCCAAACCCAAAGGGCAAACACTCCCTGATCACCCCAATCCCAGACATGATGTGCACAAAACAAGACTAACTCCTAGATGAGACCATCCATCTCTGTGACTTTACCTGTGACCATCTCTCTGGAGGAGTGACACCTGGAGCATACAATCTGAAACTCAGGTTCATGCTGGTTATATGCAAGATAGTAATAGTTCTATTGATGACCCATCAACAACTTAATATCAGCCAAGACACATGACCTCAAAGACTATCAGCAGAATTTGGCTGGATGATTGTGTCAGTCATGTGCTGCTCACCTCAACCTGTCTGGTATTGATATATCACAAGCTCAGAGAGGGGAGAGAAGGTGGAATGACCATAGAAGCATAGGACTGGAAGGGACCTCGAGAGGTCATCTAGTCCAGTCCCTTACACTCATGGCAGTACTAAGTATTATCTAGACCATTCCTGACAGGTGTTTGTCAAACCTGCTCTTAAAAATCTCCAATGATGGAGATTCACAACCTCCCTAGGCAATTTATTTCAGTGCTTAAAAATACTGAGAGTTAGGAAGTTTTTCCTAATGTCCAACCTAAACCTCCTTTGCTGCAATTTAACCCCCTTGCTTCTTGTCCTATCCTCAGAGACTAAGAAGAACAAATTTTTTCCTTCTTCCTTGTAACAACCTTTTATGTACTTGAAAACTGTTGTCATGCCCCCTCTCAGTCTTCTCTTTTCCAGACTAAAAAAAACCCAATTTTTTCAATCTTATCTCATAGGTCATGTTTTCTAGACTTTTAATCATTTTTGTTGCTCTTTTCTGGTCTCTCTCCAATTTGTCCACATCCTTCCTGAAATGTGGCTCCCAGAACTGGGCACACTACTCCAGTTGAGGCCTACTCAGCGGAGAGTAGAGTGGAAGAATTACTTCTCATGTTTTGCTTACAACAGTCCAGCTAATACATCCCAGAATGATGTTCGCTTTTTTTGCAACAATGTTACACTGTTGATTCACATTTAGCTTGTGGTCCACTATGACCCCCAGATCCCTTTCCACAATACTCCTTCCTAGGCAGTCATTTCCCATTTTGTATGTGTGCAACCTATTGTTCCTTCCTAAATGGAGTACTTTGCATTAGTCCTTATTGAATTTCATCCTATTTACTTCAGACCATTTCTCCAGTTTGTCCAGATCATTTTGAATTTTAATCCTGTCCTCCAAAGCACTTGCAACCCCTCCCAGCTTGGTATCATCCACAAACTTTATGAGTGTTCTGGCTATGCCATTATCTAAATCATTGATAAAGATATTGAACAGAATCGGACCCAGAACTGATCCCTATGGGACCCCACTCATTATGTCCCTCCAGCATGACTGCGAACCACTGATAACTACTCTCTGGGAATGGTTTTCTAACCAGTTTTACACCCACCTTATAGTAGCTCCATCTAGGTTGCATTTCCCTAGTTTGTTTATGAGAGGGTCATTCGAGATGGTATAAAAAAAAAAACTTGACTAAAGTCAAGATATACCACATCTACCGCTTCCCCTCTATCCACAAGGCTTGTTACTCATCAAAGAAAGCTATCAGGTTGGTTGACACGATTTGTTCTTGACAAATCCATGCTGACTGTTACTTATCACCTTATTATCTTCTAGATGTTTGCAACTTGATTGCTTAATTATTTGCTCCATTATCTTTCTGGGTACAGAAGTTAAGCTGACTGGTCTGTAATTCCCCGGGTTGTCCTTATTTCCCTTTTTATAGATTGGCACTATATTTGCCCTTTTCCCATCTTCTGGAATCTCTCCCATCTTCCATGACTTTTCAAAGATAATCACTAATGGCTCAGATATCTCCTCAGTCAGCTCCTTGAGTATTCTAGGATGCATTTCATCAGGCCCTGGTGACTTGAAGACATCTAACTTGTCTAAGTAATTTTTAACTTGTTCTTTCCCTATTTTAGCCTCTGATCCTACCTCATTTTCACGGGGATTCACTATGTTAGACATCCAATCACCACCAACCTTCTTTGTGAAAACCGAAACAAAGAATCATTAAGCACCTCTGCCATTTCTACATTTTCTGTTATTGTTTCCCCCCCACCCCTACTGAGTAACGGGCCTATCCCATCTTGTAGCTATTTTGGCATTATAATGCTGGAAAAATATTACTAAAATTCCAAACAAAAAAACCCCAAATCCTAAAAACCCTTGCTGTTTTTAAAAATATTAGTTCACATGAGAGTAGTACAATTTCTAAACTTATAATTTAGCCAAATCAAAACAGATTTTACCAGACTATAAAAGTCCAACCTAAGGATATATCTATGCCATATTTTAACTTTAACAACCTCTCACTTTCAACAATAGAGAGGTTAAAAAAAGGTCTTAAATTTTTATGTTGGTAATAGCAAAAATAAATTTTTTCCACTGGTTCTACTCTCAAAAACATTTTACTTCCAAAATTCTATAAATACTCACCTTTGGTCAGATACCACACCTGGTATTTAAAGCAATCTTAATTAAATAATTGTACACTTTTTGATTCATATAAGCAATGAAACACAACACTGCTCATGTAAGATATTCTGAATTCTATCTTCACTTGTATTTCATTGAACTAAGATGAATCAAATCACTCACTTTTCAATAACAGTGTCTTTCTCTTTCAAACAATCTGCATGCTTCCATTCCCTTCTACGCAGCTCCATTTCCAGAGTTTCATGACTTATTTGCAGTTCTCTTATCTGATTTTCCCACTTCTGTATTTGCTCAGCATGGACTTCTTTCACTGAAGCCAGTACTGCATCCTTTTCCTTCGCAAAGCGATCTAGCACCTCATGTCTAGAAACACAAATATGCAATTGTTTGTTTGGGTTTTTCCCTCAAGTCCAAGATTTAAAATGAAGACACACATACCCCTAACTGATACAAAGTACAGAGTAAACTTGTGTGTATCAGTGGGACTGACAAATATTTGTGTCACTTCTGTTTGCAAAGATCTGGAGAACTAAAAAGTCAAAGCTCTCAGAATAAGTACCAAAACCATTAGAGTCAATCTCATCTATCCATGGGACAGATTAAATATTTTCTTCAACAAAGAATGATACTATTCAAAGGAGCCAAGCAATCTGGAGTAAAATGACAAAAATATATTATATAATTTTAATGAGTTTAGCAGCCATTCGGCAAAGCACTTAAGCATGTGCTTACCCTTAAGTACATAAAATAGCCCATTTGACAACAGTGGGACCACTCATGCTTAAAGTTAAGCACATATTGAAATGCTTTATTGAATCAAGGCATTAAACTTCAACAACATTAACAAAACTGTCACTTTCTTAATACACTTTCTTAATTGACTGACAATATGCTTTGTTAACGCAGAGTTAAGGTTGCCCTGGGGTGTCTTGTGTCCTTCTGGAAGGTCAAATTCAGTTACACTCAAACCTCTAAAAACTAGGAAATGAAGAATTGAGGTACAAGTCCACACAACCTTAACTTTTTCATCTTTGAGCAATGACCCAATAAACCCACCTACTCACACTTTGTTTTTGAAGACAGTGCAGAAGAATAAGGGAACAGGGCACAAGGTCATTGTAGGACAGGATCGAATGCTTTCTTTTTGCAAAAGCAAAACTTCTGCTTAGGTGAGCTGTACTTAACAGGAGTTACCCACACCTGTTCACTCAAATACTGAGCCAGCTCCACAGAAACAACACCATACATGCTAAGTTTCCAGCCTCTTCATCCTTATGCACAGGATGCCATCTAACATTATACTTTCATTTACCCATCATTAAGCTCACAGATCATTCTCATATCCCACCTTGCTGCTGACTATTCCCATGGGAAGAAGACTCCTGGGCACCACTAATGACACATGTCACACAGCTCAGTGCTGAAATGAAGCTAAGTGCATCCTTCAACGTACACATTCAACTCCTTCCTTTCATCACACACAAGGGGAGAGGGGCTCAGACAATTCAAAGGGCAAGGCCTCCCAGATTGCTTCATATCACAATCGCAGCTCCGCCAACCTTCTCCAACTAGTCCTTCTGCCATTCAATACAGCTACAGCTGACAGTGAATGCAGCTGTAGTGCATGCAGATATTTCCAAGTTACAGAGCTGGGAATAGAGTCCAGATCTTCTTAGTCCCAGTCCAGAGTTCTTTTTGCTAGGCCACATGGCTGCTATGTCATTCTTAAGTGCTCCTCCTCTCATTTAGGACGGAAGAATCCCATTCACTGTTACAGACTAGGGACCGACTGGCTAGGCAGCAGTTCTGTAGAAAAGGACCTAGGGGTTACAGTGGACGAGAAGCTAGATATGAGTCAACAGTGTGCCCTTGTTGCCAAGAAGGCTAACGGCATTTTGGGCTGTATAAGTAGGAGCATTGCCAGCAGATCGAGGGACGTAATCATTCCCCTCTATTCGACATTGGTGAGGCCTTACCTGGAGTACTGTGTCCAGTTTTGGGCCCTACACTACAAGAAGGATGTGGAAAAATTGGAAAGAGTCCAGCGGAGGGCAACAAAAATGTTTAGTGGGCTGGAGCACATGACTTATGAGGAGAGGCTGAGGGAACTGGGATTGTTTAGTCTGCAGAAGAGAAGAATGAGGGGGGATTTGATAGCTGCTTTCAACTACCTAAAAGGGGGTTCCAAAGAGGATGGATCTAGACTGTTCTCAGTGGTACCAGATGACAGAACAAGGAGTAACGGTCTCAAGTTGCAGTGCGGGAGGTTTAGGTTGGATATTAGGAAAAACTTTTTCACAGGAGGGTGGTGAAGCACTGGAATGGGTTACCTAGGGAGGTGGTGGAATTTCCTTCCTTAGAGGTTTTTAAGATCAGGCTTGACAAAGCCCTGGCTGGGATGATTTAGTTGGGATTAGGTCCTGCTTTGAGCAGGGGGTTGGACTAGATGACCTCCTGAGGTCCCCTTCCAACCCTGATATTCTATGATTGTATGAATTATCTGCTGTACTCAGATTACATTTCTCCTAAATTCTCGGCCCGGTGCTTGGGGGGGGGTGGAGGCTCAGGCTGTTGCTGGCGGTGGGTCGGGGGACTGGCATTTGGGGGCTGGCAGCGGCGGCTTGGCCCAATGTGGCTAAGGACGGCTCGGGCTCCTCTGGTTGGGGGGCCCCCTCAGGGCTTTTCCTTTTACGAGGGGAGGGAGGGAGGTGGTTGGAGCTCCGGCATGCGTGGGGGGGGCCCTTGGGCAGAAGGGGTGGGGCCGGCGGGCTAGCCTCCCCGAAGCAGGGGTTCCCCTGCTGCCTATGGTGGCAACAAAGGGCTCTGCTTTGGGGAGAGGGGATAGCTCAGTGGTTTGGCCTGCTAAACCCAGGGTTGTGAGTTCAGTTCTTGAGGGGGCCACTTAGGGATCTGGGGTCAATCAGTACTTGGTCCTGCTAGTGAAGGCAGGGGGCTGGACTCAATGACCTTTCAGGGTCCCTTCCAGCTCTATGAGATAGGTATATCTCCATATATTATTATTATTGCCTTGGCTCCAGAGACCGACATCACCCACTGCCTTCTGGGAGGCTTTCACGGCTGGCTTGCCCTCATCTGGAGCCTTTGTCGGGTGTATCGCTGCATGCGGAGCCGGCTGCAATGGGAGAGTCCTTTGCTCTCTGGAAGCTGGGAGCTGAGAAGGTGGTGACTGCGCCATCAGTCTGGGTTCCCTACCACTCCCTGGAATTGGTGGCAGATCCCTTAGGAGGGTAGGAGATCCCCTCAAGGATGTGCCCCCTTACAGCTCTGGTGTGGACGAGTGGCTCGAGCAGTGTCCTTTGCCCAGTGCCCCTTGGTCCAACTTGTTTGGTGCCAGGTCCCGCTTCTTGGTCTTTTTCTTGGGCACTAGCAAAAGGGACTGATGCCAGGTACAGCCCAGTGCTGGGGGTGCACTTCTGAGGCTGGGCGAAGAGCAGCCTCCATGAGTAGGGCCCTCAAGTGAACGTCGCGTTCTTTCTGTGTCCTGGGACAAAAGTTCTTACAGATGCGACACTGTTCTCTAATGTGGGATTCCTCCAGGCACTTCAGACAGCTGCCATGCAGGTCACTAACAGGCATAGGCCTATTACAGTCAGCGCAGGGCTTAAAACCCAGTGACTGGGGCATGCCCCGCCAGGACCTTAGCTGACTAACTACAGTTCTTAACAGTTTAGGGTTAGGGTTAATAACTAATCTACAATAAACCAAAACTATTTACATCTGGAACATGAAGTTCGAAGAGTAAAGAAACCGCTGACCACTTGCGAAGCAAGGGAGAGGTGCTCCGGCCAACCACCACGGCCGGTAAGAAGGAACCAAGAGGGTGTAGGACTGGCCATGCCTGATATACCGACACATGAGCGCGGCACTCAAGGGGGCATCACAGCCAACCCTACAGATACTGCTAAGGCAAAAGTCTCTGACAACTGTGCACATGGGCACGCACACACCTAGAATGGAATCAACAGGAGCAAGCACTCGAAGAAGAACTTCTCTTGTAAGCTGAATAATCAAGTTTTCATCATCATTTCATTTACCAATCTTCTACACCGAAAGAAGAATACACTTAAAGAGAGGCAGAGAAGGGCTGGCTAAAATTTAGGAGAAAAGACATGGCAAAAACATTCTGCTGAGTCAGGTGTTCCACAGCCATTACACAGTTGTACTTATTGATGTCAGGAAACCTCAGAACTGAATAAGGAACCATATGAGTAACTGGTAGTGACAAATGAATACTGAAACTCTCATGAATTGATCTACATGCAATCTATTTGTTAAGATAGAACACTTATACAGGCTGATGTCACACAGTGAAATAATGCTTCCTTAAACAAACATGTAATACTGAGAAATACAATATTATATATCAGAAATACTTACTTTCTCTGAAATGTTTCCTCTTCTTTTTGCCAGGTCTGGTATACTAAATGAAGTTTACATTCTAAATCCTGTATCCTAAATTAGCAAACATTGGGAAAGGAAGAAATAAGATTTATCAATTTTGTAACTGAAATTGTTATGCTTAGTTACAGCAAGGAAGGAAGATGGTGGGGATTAAGTAACTCAGAATAAGGAGAAGAAACCAGAAAAAGGTCAAATATTAAATGGCCAGGAAAGGAGGGATAAAGTCAGAAAGTGGACAATGGACAGAATTTAGAACAAGGTTCAAAGGTGGTTAGATATTTGAGAATGGGCATGTGGTACGAGAATGTATTGCTTTCAGAGAGAAGTAAAAATGAGAGAATAACAAGAAGAAGGGACTGAGAATTATAGTGATATGTAAGAACTTGAATTAGACAAAATGTGAGACAAAGCAAAAGAAATGTTTGAGTTTGCTTCCTATGAATAAAGTGAGACGACTAGTAGCTAAGATGGGAACTGAAGCAAGAAAGAAGCTCTGGCAGTTGGCTTAATCAATTCCATTTGAAGTCAAAGCAATGATCTTCTAAAAAGAAAATAAAAAGGCACATTTAGGAATTCCATCTATAAAAATGGCAGTGAATTTAAAGGACATACAGTCTCTCTCTATTTAGATTTATACCATGTTCTTCACTGAGGTGTTTGAGAGTCAGACCCTGTGAAGGGAGCCCGTTACAACAGGAGCTAATGAGATACAATGGCTTGAAAAAAAAATCAGACGCACTTCTCTTTTTGTAAAAATGTATTGATTTTTAAAATTAATGTCATTGTTTAAAAACCCATCTAATTTCCTTCTTTGACAGGGTTACTGGGCTAGCAGATGGGGGAAAGCAGTAGACATGATATATCTTGATTTTAGTAAAGCTTTTGACACAGTCCCACGTGACGTTCTCATAAGCAAACCAACAAAATGTGGTCTAGATGATATTACTATAAGGTGAGTGAACAACTGGTTGAAAGACCATACTCAGTGATTCGCTGTCAAACTGGGACGGTATATCTACTGAGGTCCCGAAAGGGATCAGTCTCGGGTCTGGTACTATTCAATATTTTCATTAATGACTCAGATAATGGAGTGGAGAATATGGTTATAAAGTTTGCAGATAACACCTATCTAAGAAGGGGTGCACGTTGGAGGACAGGATTAAAATTCAAAACAACCTTGACAAACTGGAGAATTAGTCTGAATTCAACAAGATGAAATTCAATAAGGCTAAGTCCTAAGTACTTCACTCAGGCAGGAAAAATCAAATGAACAACTATAAAATGAGGAATAATGGGCTAGGTGGTAGTACTGCTGAAAATGATCAGGGGATACAGTGGATCACAAGCTGAATATGAGTCAACAGCAGCTGAAAAAAAGGCTAATATTCTAGAGTGTACTAACTGGAGTGTCGTATATAAGACATGTGAGGTAATTGTCCCGCTCTACTTGGCACTGATGAGGCTTCAGCTGTACTACTGTGTCCAGTTCTGGGCACTACACTTTAGGAAAGATGGACCAATTGTAAGCCTGTCTGTGTCAAAGTACTTTGCCCTTAAATTCATGCACAACCTACAGAGTTTACAAGCTCTGACGAACAGCTGGTTTAAGAAGTTTATGAAAGTAAAAATGTGATAATCTACACCAAGTTTCCACATAGCAGTGTGTGAAAAATGAGGGACCAATCTGTAATATTTTTATGATGATTATGGGAAACTCCATTTGTTTGATTATGAGTGGGCGATAGCTATATGGAAGCCTAAGGGTTAACTCAGTTCTATGGGGCTCTGTAGGACTACAGGAAGGCAGACAATAAGTGTAGCTAACCCTAATCCCAATACTTAATATAACACAAGTGTCAATTCCTTTGAAAATTCACCCCCACCATGCTCTGATCAGCAAGCAGGTTGGTGACTCCAAAGGGGGGGGGGAGCCCAGGCAGGAATGTTCAACAAAGACACTGAAAGCAGTTAAAAACCTAGATCTGGAGAGAGGAAGAAGGATGGAGGGTCTAAAGTAACACGGTTCCCAGATATTGGAGCACAAGGAATAAGTGCAGTCCGACCTGAACTGGCAAGGTAGGGCCAAGCTTAGGGAAGACAATATGCATATAAGCTTTTGTTATTTTTAATCCTGTTCTCTCTGTTCGTGAAGTTCCTATGAATAAATAAACCATACTCTGTTTTGAGTAAGCTGTTTTCTATCAATGGGTTTACCAGCTGGTCAGAGGTCCTTGGGGGGGAAGCATATAGCAGGCCTGAATCCAGATGGGCCTGGTGGAGGTAAGTACAGCCGGTAAAACAGGATGTACTGTAACCTGGCGACAAAGTGGGGTGAACCATAGGGTTCCACTCTGAAAGAAGTGCAGGTATAGACGTGTCTCTTGGAAAGGGTGACCTCGGGAGAGACTGAGATAATGCTCAAACATACATTGCATGCCTGAACTATTACACAGTGTTTATAAATACTTTATACAAACAAAGAAAATTTTTAAAAAATTACACCAAATAAAGAATGCAGCAGAACTGGTCTAAAACCCACACTACCCAGAGACACTCTAGTGAGCACTTTGATCAATGGACATTTCCTTCTGTTGTGAATAGGATAGTATGTACTATTTGAGTAGGTGATTGTTTATACAAGAGGTATGAAGCTGCTGAGATTATAAAAGAGTGTGGAAGGAAAAGAAGGGAAGCGTGAATTCAAAAGTAGTTGCTCTTAATCATAGCTAGGGTTGTACAGTACTGAGCATCTTTCACAGCTGCAAGATCTTTAAGTTCCCAGTCCTTGCATTTGGCCTCTTTCTCCAACTTCAAATTAGTAGTTTCTGCTATTTGCAATGATTCTGCAGCTTTCATCCCAGCCTCTTTCAGAGCCTCCAGTTCTCTGGTCAACAACTTCACCTTTCAAAGGAGGAAACAAAATTAGAATGTAATTACTCAAATTACTCAAAATTAGAAAGTAATAACAAGGGCGTAACAGAACTATTTCACTATGCTCCTGGCGACAGCAGGAAGGTTGTAAACCCCACCACATATAATCAGCATATCAAGAGAAACTCATAATATCTCAAGAACAACAAAATAATATCAGGGTGCTAAAACTCTACCTCCTCCCTCTTCTCCTACCCTTTTTGAAATCAGAAGAGATTGCAATCCCTGCCTTAGGGTTGGATCATGAAAATGTATTCCTACTCCAGAAAGAGTTCTTTCTCTTCCCATCTAGGCACAAAGAAAAGGAATACTTGTGGCACCTTAGAGACTAACAAGTCTAAGGTGCCACAAGTACTCCTGTTCTTTTTGCTGATACAGACTAACACGGCTGCCACTCTGAAACCTGTCAACCAGGCACAATACTTCCCTCTTTGATTTTGATTTTTTTTAGTTAGGATTTTTTTTAAAAGGTCAAAACACTTGCTTGGTCTAATTGAACTATTTTATAAATAGTAAAATGCAATAAAATACTAGAATAAATCTTATGGGTGAGATTTTCAGAAGTGTCAGTTACTTTGATTGGGATTAGCCCCAGGCCAACACTGAGCTCGTTTGAAAACCCACACTATGAGTGCAATCTCCACTCATTTATTCCCATTCACCCTCTCCCTTTTATACACCTCCCAAACACTCATTTTGTATCCTTTCCCCTCATTTATCTTCCTTGCTAACCCTAGACCTCTTTTTGTGTACTAAATGACCTACCATTTTCCCTTTGGATCACCACTTAAAATTCCCTTCTTCGAAAAGCTTTTCAACAATGATCTCTACTTACTTCAGCAATGTGCCTCATTAATGAAAAAAATCTCCCTCAATTGCCTAAAGTTTGCATCATTATCAAATATATTATTTGTATCTGAAATGTGTTATCTATATTTGACTTAGAAAAGATCTTTAACCTATAGACAGAGTGTCTTCCTCTATTTATACAGCACTTAGCACACTGGTGGCATTCAAATAATAAACTTAACATGAACAGATGTTGAAAAGCACATATTTAGGTCAGCACTACAATTATGGACACACAAACATACATAAAGTTATAAAATAAGCACTCCAAAGTCAGAAAATTCCAAAGGTCAAGGTTTCTTCCACTGTATCAACTCAGCTGTACCACATACACTATCTATTTGATATCTATGTATTAATAAAAAACAATAATACATAAAAGTTTAAATTCAACAAGGAAAACAGGAATAGGAAATACTACATAAAGGCACCAAGTTAGCAGCAGCCAGACAGGGGCCAGAATTCGGCCCTTTAGCCTTCAAATTCAAAAGCCATAAATGATGAAACAAAAACAAATTTATAAAATATCTAATTTCACCTTATTACTGTTATAATGATGTCTTAAACTCAATAAAGTCTGAGGAAGTAAAAGCCTTTGTCAATATCTATGCACAAGATGCTGTAACTGGTTTTGAGTGGTACCTATCTCATAAGCGCTTTAAAAAATTAGAACACACTGAAATAACTTGACACTGGTAACAAAAAGGGTACACCCAAGTGATGTTGAATTCATCTTTCTATTTAGATTCTCTGCATATTTCTTCACTAATAGTCAACAAACATCAATCTCATGAGATAGGCATTCTGGAGACTGACAGGTAAATTTTCTCATCAGTGTGCAGGAAGATTCTGTTAACCATAATGGAATTAAGATGCAACCCTCAAGTACCTCCAGTTTCTACTATCCTGGAAACAACTCATTCGGTCCACTAGCGAAGAAAGGAAGAGTGTGACCTGTCTATGTGTGTCACAGAATATATCAAACTTGGGATGATAGTAAAGTGTGTTTATTTTGTAGACAAAATGAAAGTATAGCTTAAAGACACAATTACCTTCAGTTCATGAGAAAGAACTAAATTACTCATTTCATCTGCCCGCTGTCGAAATGCATGTTCTCTCTTTTTAATTTCTGCACCAAATTCCACTAGCAGCTCCTGTAATGGATTACAGGGAATGGATTAATAATTGCATAAAGAATGGGAATCCTAATATAGACCATCTGTCAGCTACCACTGTGTCTTAAACCATTGTGTCTTAACCACTGTCTTATCTAGGTTTGATTTGAGGAGAATTAGACAACAAACTGGCTAAAACATTGTGTCTGGGGTACAGTAATTCTCTCACCATTGCTTGCACCAGTGGAGCTATGCCAATGCTACAACAACAATGGGGAATTTAAAGAAAAAGCTCAGTGTAAAGAAGGCTCCTGTGTTACCTAAAATGGCATCTTCCATGTAATATTAAAGTCAAAACAATCCACAGTCGTAGAAAAGATGAAATTACCAAATGTATTTCTTAACTAAAAATGTACATATGTTAAAGTCATATTCCTTTATAATAAATATTTATCCAACTATGCAACCTATAACTTTTGATAAGAAAATATGAGTTTTGCTTTAAATCTTACTTGAACAGTGAAATAAACTATACCCCCATATGGATCCAAGAATGTGCTGTTTCTTCCAGTACTGTGGGGTTTTCCTTCTAGACCAGGGGTGTCCTACCTGTGGCTCCAGAGCCACATGCGGCTCTTCAGAAGTTAATATGCGGCTCCTTGTATAGGCACCGACTCTGGGGCTGGAGTTACAGGCGCCAACTTTCCAATGTGCCGAGGGGTGCTCACTGCTCAACCCCTGGCTCTGCCACAGGCCCTGCCCCCACACCACCCCTTCCCCTGAGCCTGCTGTGCCCTCACGCCTCCCCCCACAGAGCCTCCTGCATGCCATGAAACAGCTGATCGGGAGGGGAGGGAGGAGAAGGTGCTGATCAGCTGGGCTGCCGGTGGGTGGGAGGCTCTGGGAGCCAGGGTGAGGGGTGCTAATGGGGGGCTGCTGATGTATTACTGTGGCTCTTTGGAAAAGTACATTAGTAAATATTGGCTCCTTCTCAGGCTCAGGTTGGCCACCCCTCTTCTAGACATATGAATTGTCAAAAAACAAGCAATAACCTCAAACTACTAATGACAATAAATCAAGTAGACTACAAGTTGCGAAAAACAGAATAAATGATTTCAGCATAATGTTTTTGGTCATACTGTGTATTAAGGTTCCATTTATAAATAGTTTATAAAGGGATAATAAATGTTAAATTTTAACAGACATGAATAGTGTGTGTTATAGATGGTTATAATCATATCAGTAAAGTAGTTACAAATGGTTATACACAATCTAGTGACCTGTTGGACTTCATAATAATCTATGACAATTGATTAAAACACATATTTATCATTTATTAATATTTTATAAATGCAACTTGATATTAGAGTGTGACCATTTTTTCTATTCTTGCATAAATTAGATGTTATTCTAGTTACTTGAACTATGAATACTACCAGAAAAATCTAAATCTTCAGAAAATTTGGCACAAATACAATTGGAGAATTGAAGCAATGAGAGGAGTCAGTAGTTTTACTGAAGTTAATAAAATGCCCCAAAACAACATGATCTTGATGCGGCAAACAGCAGAGGGGAGCTGCAAACAGCAGAGGCTAACAGAGGGAGTTTGCTTGGGATCTGTCAGAGAGGAGGTACGCTAAGTGCTGCATTAGGGGGGCTGTGTTGATGAGTATCTGAGTGTCTGTTGCAGGGACTGTGTTGGTGAGTATCTGAGTGTCTGTTGCAGGGGCCAGTTTGTCAGTTTGACCGTGTGCTTGATTGTTTGATTGTTTGTTTGAACAGTGTGAATTGGGAGTGCTTTGTTCCAGGAGGGCCTTGAGTGGGCCTGACTGGTATAAAAAGGTAGTCAGCAGTGAACCAGCTGAGCAGCGAACAGTGGAGGCTAACAGAGGGAGTTTGCCTCGGGAGAGCCCACTGAGGCTTACATCTCACGGGCTTCCGTGAGTTGCTGCAACAGCTGAGGAAGCTCTTAGAAGGAAGAAATTATGGAAGGTGAGCGTTCAGTTGTTGTAACCTGCACAGGTTGTGCCATGTTTGTCTTTCTTCCACAGGACAGAAATGACTTTGTCTGTACAAAATGCAAGCTGGTCTCCATATTGGAAGAGAAGGTTCGAGGTCTGGAGAAACAAGTATTGACCCTGCGTTGCATATGAGAAAATGAAGATTTCCTGGACAGACGTCAGGATATGCTTCTACAGGCACAACGTTCTGAGGAATTGGAGCAGGTTGCGCAGAGGCGACTGAGGGACGGTGAAGAAACTTGGCAGCATGTCATCTCCAGAAGAAGAAAGAGGAGCATCCATGTACCAGCAATGGAAATACAGGTGAGCAACCGTTTTCATGTTCTCTCCACAGGTACTAATGCGGAGAGTGGACTAGATGATACAT